GTTGAAAAATTATTTATATTATGTATGTATGCATGCATACCCGAGTCGGTGACCTTGACTCTACTTTACCTGTGGACAGTTTTAAGTCATACAAAGAATAACTTTATGAACTAATGGATCTGATGTCTTTGTATCTGTCTGGGTTTATCAGGTTTCGTTGTGTTTTTAGGTTGTTGAGTGTTGGGTTATTGTGACCGTTAAATATGTACACGATCTTTAATGTATTTTTCGACTGAAACAACTCTCAGATCTCTATGGATATTTGCTTCTCTTATCTAAATTGTATTATATACTTATTATTATTAGAGAAAATTTTATATTGGCGATTGTTGGAAATTGGAGCAATAAAAATGTTTATATAAATCTAGAGTCAACTACTTAATTGTTAATTGGGATCCAGCAATTATGAACGACTACGCGAAAATCGAAACGTACTCAACAATTGATTAATAATAAATCAACGAATATATAATTATAGTCTTTCAAATTATATCATATTATAATATTTCATATATTATGTCTCTGTCTTCGGAACTGATATTGGTTTAATTTGATTTGATTCATTGATGAATTTCATAGTTTTCGTCATCAATGCATTCTTCGATTTTTGAATAAATGAAACTACAAGTACCACTGTGACATAAATTTATTTTATCTTATAAATTAATATGTTCATCTTAAAAAATTAAACAAAATAAATACAATTATATAAGTCATTATACATTTTATTCAAGCATAATTTTACGCATTACTAACATTAATTCTTATGTTTTTGCAATCACTAAGCAATATAAATAAATAAATTATAATTTGTTAATTAAGGACACAATAATTAAACATAATTAAACAAACTAAATATTAAAGTTAATATTTCAGTTTCTATATTGTTTTTATTAAGGTTTCTACAACGACTGTTTATACACGATTACGATTGCGATTGCGACTATTTGAGTCCCTCTTCAAAGCCCCTTTTTGGGTTAAGAAGGATCAAATATCGCAATGCCATTAGAATGAATCTTAAAGAATCAGTTTAAGTTTATTTTTTATTTTTACTCGAATACTTGACAGTATGCAAAATTACGTAAATTTGTAAATTCGTTCATGAGAGGTTGACGGTTTGTATTTTATTATAGTTTATAGTTTTATAAATATGTATATTAAGGTTAGAGTTTTGTTTCTACTTTTTTGAAAATCATTATATATATATATATAAAAAGCTAACTGAAATTTTAACCAAACGAAATGAATTTTGAAGCCAAAAATACTCAAAAAATACTCACCAGAAGCCGAAAAATTGAAATAAAAATTTTTAAATAAATTTTTTTTTGTTTTGGAAAATAAATTTAAAAAAATTTTGAATTGAAATTAAAAATTTTGTTTGAATTTTTTTTTTTTTAAATATATATCTTTTTTATTTTAATATTTTTTATATCTTTAAATTATTTTATAATTAGAACTATTAATATTATATAAACATTTCACAATATACATAGTTTTTTGTGTATGCATATGTGAATCCATATTTAATTTTTATGATTTACTTAATTAATTAATTCAAACATAAGTCTCCAATTAATTATCAATTATTCACAAATACTTTTTAAAAAAGAATTTAATTTTAATTAACTATAAAAATTCAATAAATTTATTTATTTAAAATTACACATATAAATAAGACAACATAACCGATTAAAGGAAAATAAACTAGACTTAAACAGAAATAATACAAAAATACAACTAATGTATTTCATACGAAAGAAAATTAAGTTAACTTAGATATTTAGTGTGTAAACTTCAACAAATCGATTAATAAAAATATACATAACTCAGTAAAATTTAAAAATTATTCACCAATTATTTCACGTTTAATTCATTAATTCATTAATTTCATTTCATTTCTTTTAATTAATTTTTATAATTATTAACCTTAAGCTTTCTGAGTAAACGTGAACACATAAAAAAATTTTCATTTTATTTAATTTTCATATAAAGTTACTTGTGTATTTATTTCATTTTTATTTTTATTTTATTTTTATTTTTTATTCAATTTTAAAGATAAAGTTTCGTTGCGTATTGGTAATGGTAAAGGTAATTTTAATTTTAATTTAATTTCAAAATATATTTTCAATATTGCAGGACACAGGACAGAAATACTCGTACACGCATAAAAGTCATATATTGAGTTTTAAGCTTTATTAACTAGGATCCTTAACGTTTTACATCTTCACTACAGTTTCAAGCATTTTTGTGTATTTTTACATGTGCACCAAATAAATTATTAAATTATTAAATGATTAAATGATTAAAAATGTTAATTTTAATTTTTGTTTTAATTTAATTTTAATGCTCATCGCATTAAGGGATATACTCTATATAGACACATATAAGTAATTGCTAGTTTAATTGTTTTTTTTTTCATATATTTCAATTGTGTGAATAAAAGCACATATATATATATACAGGAATGAACATTGTATATAATATTCATATAGTTAGTTCTTAGTACTAATTATTTAAAAATTTTGAAAATAATTCAATATCTTTTGGACTCGCACGTATGCCAGGATTTGTTGAATATGTAAATTATGCGCATATCCTTTAGTTTCAATTTGGTTTGTAACTTTACTTTTTTGTTTTTGTTTTAATTTTTTGTTTTTGTTTTTGTGTTTACTTGTTAAGAAGACTTTTTTTTGTTCACTACAACTTTTATAACATAATTATGTATATTCATATTAATTTATTTTAAATTAAGTTAATATTATTGTTTATTAATATTAATGTATACTAATGACTTATACTTCAACTTGTTTTTTTTTCTTTTCTTTTCTTTTGTTTTGTTTTGTTTTGTATCTTTAAAATAGAGTTTATTTAAAGTGAATATGAAAAACGAGCTTTCAAACATTTTTTTTTTATTTTTTACTACTACTGACCTACATCAATTATTTTATTTATTTTTTCCTTAATAGAATAGTTAAGATATATTTTATTTTTTTATTTTTTTTGTTTTTAAATTTTAAACTAGCAGTGCCGTAATGATTTTTTTTTTTGGGATTTAGTTTCGGTATTATTTGTTCTTGTTTATATATTTTGTGTTATACAGAAATCTTGCATTCTTAAAAATAATAATAAGAATTGCTATAATTTATGCATATATATTTGACATTCTCACGGAATGGACGTAAAATGTTCAATGAATTCGGTTTCATCATTCTAAAGTATCTACAACAATTTGAGATATATAATATGCAATAATAATATAAATTGCATATTTTATTTAAAGCATAATTAATATATTTATAAAATCCTTGCAAAAATGCGCAAAATATTTTAATAAATTTAAAATTATTTTAATTAAATTGGTTTGGCTTTTAAAAATTTTTGGGCTTTTGAAATAACTCCAAATAATAGATTTACTACAAAAATAAAATATCAAACGGGTTCACTGGGTAAAGTGTTAGAGAGAAGTATGGAAATAAAATACAAAAAATTCAAATTATATTTGAAAATTTTAAAAGATTTCTTTTATAAAAATATATATGAAAGACATTTGTTTATTAAAAAATATTTATGTAGACGGCTAATACTATTCAAGAAAAGTTGTTAAGGACGATGTTATGCAAATGATCAGTTGATCATCGATCACCAAATTTATTTATTGACTTATGTGTATTTGTTTTAGGAGTTATTTATTTGTTTATTAAATTTAGTTCGAAATTCGTGAAAAAGGTTTCGAACAAACATTTTTACAATATATAAATTCCTAATTAAAACATTTCTATATATAATAGAAATTGTTAAGGACATTTCTATAATTAATAGAAATTGTTGCAAACATTTTTACAAATAATCCGAACTGTTGAAGACATTTTTATAAATAATACAAATTGTTGAAAACATTTGTATGTTTAACAGCAATGTTTTCCTATTATATTTAAATATATACGTATTTTACATTTTTATATAACATTACATACATATATATATACAATGCACCATAAGGTATAAAAATATAAAGCGTTGAAAGCAACAAAAGATATGGTGATCATCGATGACTTAATCATCTGATAATATGGCCCTTCTGAGAAGATTTGCGAGTTCAACACAAATCAAAAACTAAAGTTTAAGTGTATTTATTGGGACACTAACTTATTATACAAAAAGGCTAATAAAGGCGTGTTACATATATATACATAAATGTATGCGTCAATGTTAGATACAAAAGTCACAATTCATTTTGTAGAATGTAGTTTTAGCACTTGGTCAATAAGTCCATGTACTATAAGTTCCCGATCTCTTGGAGCAAGCTTGCTGATCAAATAATAGAGCAGCACTGTAAAGTGTCAACACATGGACATAAAATTTATTTTATTATAACCGCTTTAAACTGTTCTTATATTACTTAGTTTATAGTGTATATGCGATAATTGCTGACTGGACATGCAACCAAGTGAAGACGGAAAACGAATCATGGCTGTATACGGGAACATGTGTTCGTAAGCATGGAGTGCGAAGTATAAAATAATATTTTATATTGTTGTAATATATTATATATATAATACATATTATATAATAAGATAATATAAGATATAATACAATGTATAAATACATTACAGGCCAATAACGCAAACCCTACCTTGCATGTACACTACTAGTTACCTAGTGTTCGTTAAGCTCGGTAGGTTACTCTTATTATTTTGTGAATTTCTACTTTACATATAAAGTAAAGTATTTACTTTTTAACTATTTACTACCACAATTCCCTACTATTATGCCCTATCTATACGAAAACAGAATATCTTTTTTTAAATGTACTTCTGGGAGTCATCGTAAATAGCAATGTGCCTTTGCATATACATAAAACAAGGTTAATATTCAATATTAAAATCATAAAAATAAAATATATTGCATTAGTGAAAAAAAAAAGATAATTTTTTTGCAAAGATTTTATAAAAATTGAACTTAAAGCGACTTTATATCTATTTTTTTTGTTTTCACTCATAAATAAATTTCATCGCCATTGGAACTTTTTAAACAAAATTAATTTGATTAAATTCATTAACTGTTTCGGTTTTTATGTTTGCTAACTGTTAAAAGGTGGAAAATCCCAAAGACGTAGCACCGCTATTTTCTAAAGGTCACTGATGCATTTTCGTGGTATGATGTCCCATGCCCAAACCTAAGTTCAAGTGATGAGTATTGTGATGCTGTTGCGCTGCTTGGCCATGATTATGATTACTGTTTGAACTATTGTTATTATTTTGTTGATTTGCTTGCCGTTGGGAGTTCTTCTTGTTTTTCATACGACGATTTTGGAACCATATTTTTACCTTTAAAAATATATATAATCATATATAAATATTTTTGGAATTATAAGGATTATTTAATTTGCTATTGAAATACCTGTCTTTCGGTTAACTGCAAGTTTCTAGCTAATTCCCAACGTTTTTGTTTTGACACATATGCATTAAATAGGAATTCTTTTTCAAGTTCCAATGTCTGAAATTTTGAATATGGCTTACGCTTTTTTCTCACCGAAACTTGACCAGTCCACTCATGTAATGCATTAGTCGGTGTGCATGGACCAACAGCGCCACCACCTAAAATATACACAAAAAGAAATTATGAGATAAAAATCAATTTAACAATACTTTTTAAAAAAATTTAATAAAATCAAATGAATTAGTATATAGGAAAGACTTATGCATTCACTTTATCCTAATTCATTGTTTATGTAGCCGTCCTACGAGGACCGCTTTTTAAAGGGAAGGAGATTCTTTCAGATAATATAATATATTAGCAATACTTTTGTTTACCATTTAATAATGAAAAGTTTCATGTATACATATTAATTTGGAGGTATGATGAGTGATTGGCTTCAGCCCCCAATTCCACCTTTGGCTACAAATACGATAAATGTTTAGCAACCCATATAAAACATTCCCAGAAAATATGATATTTATTAATAGTAGAATTGAGTATAGTCAATTAATCGAAATAGAATTGAGTCAATTACTTTGTTACATAGAGAAGTCTACTGCTATTGATAAGACATCAATTGAAAATATTCCTCACTAAGAAACCTATCACGTTCACCCTACATGCCTCCATATTTATATATTATTTTTCCAATTTTTTTGTATCGCTACTTCGTGTCATAGAGCACCAGGAGCGTACACAGAGACCCATATAAGAGGGGACTCTTGAAAACTACTATAATATATGAACCTTATATATAATATAATATATAAGGTTCATATAAAGACATTTAATTAAAATTATGTTTCAGACCTAGTTGAAACGGGTCTGAAACATTTTAGAGGTTGTTTTTACCCTAATTCTTTTCCCTAGCATATGCCACTGGTGTAGACATTGTACAATATCATGTGCGTTGTGCAATATTATTTATTGAGGTCTACTAATTATGAAATATAAATATTAAAAAATAAAAAAATATAAAATAAATATTGTATGTAAATTTATATCGATATATTATTTATCGATATATAATTTATATTATTGATATTAGTTAAAGAACTAAGCCAATTTAATATCGAGTCTTATCAGTAAACCATGATGGCTCACTTGTTATGGCATACTTCACTAATTCGTCTAACCGAGGAAGAATTTGCTTATCCAAAAAAGTTGAAGAATTGAATTAGAAGCCCTTAACGGGTAATTCCCTTATATATTATATTAAAAAAATATTTTGTAATTATTTAAATGATAATCAAGCAAACACTTTTCACTAAATTCACTTCACTTAAATGATAAAAATTATAATTATAATTAAGTTTTAATTATAACAATGCATAAACTTCAACACTAAACATTTTATAAGTCCTATATATGAGCAAAATTTGTTTTAGTTAAGCATTTTTAATGACAGACGTCTGTTAGTTTCAAAACACTTGCTTAACCAGCTTAAAATAACACCCAAATGTTTATTACTAAATCCAGGCTGGGTCATAGAAATAAAAATGTGAAATACGGCGATACTATTATTATTGGTCATCATAGATCTCGAAGAGAATCATCTCTAAATTTTAATGGAATTTAAAAAACATCTGCACTAGAAAGTAAATTTTAACTATATTTTATGAATGTTGCGCATAGGTCAGACAATAATAGAATATATGCGAAGTTTTCCTTTAGCATTCTCAAAACTACTGCTAGAGTAATTGAAAGGATTGTTCAGGACCGATTTCATTGTTGTAACTTTAGGCTCAAATTAAGCTTAAGTCATCAACTTTGCTGTCTTAATTTCTACTTAAGTCAGTTTTAAGACCTAATTTACAGCTATGAATACGGGTATCAATCTACCAGCGTGATTTTCTAACCCACAATGACCGGACACCCTCTTTATAATTAATAACTGTCCGAGCATCTTAATGAAATATTTTTTCATTCAATTATTCTATGGAACAAAATTTTAGAAATGAAGATCAGTGTTTTTTTAAATTTTCAGAATACATTCCTAAGACCCTATCTGCTTAGCTCAATGTCTATGCAGTTGCTAATATTATCCTTGTACCCTTAAACTCAGAGAAGAAAATTGTTGAAACACTTCAACGGCTTTAAAGTTGCTAAGATTATCTCTGTATTCTGAAGTCCAGAGAAGAGAATTGTTGAACTACTACAACGGCTTTGAAGTTGCTAAGATTGTCCCTGTTTTCTGAACCCCAGAGAAGAAAAGTGTTGAACTAAGTCGAAATCTTGTTCACAAAGGTGGAGTAGTCAAAATCTCTTCTAGATGTTATTTAGGCTAAAAATTATTAGTTTCAGTAACTCGTTCTCTAGGTTGCTCCGTGGTCCAATGATCATATTGTACATATATAAGAATTCTGTCGAATACTACTTTTATATTGTAGTTAAATTTAAATCAAAGTAGAGATTTTTTTAACCTGTAGACTACATTTTAAAAATTGTGTGGTTATTGTAATTCTGCATTGATTAAATATGTGCCAATTCAGAAATTCCTTCCTTACCAGACATCTGCAATGCATCACAAATTACAAATGAGGCGAAGTTGAAATAATTACTGGATACAAACTTTAAAAAACACGTTTAACACGTGTTGTTATTTTTTATAAATAAATAAATAAATAGACTTTCAGATAAAATAACACTTGGCATAAACTTAAGTAAATGAAAAGTGAAGTGAAGTGTGGGTTCATACAGACAATTGTAAACAATTTAAAAAAATGTAAAATATACAAAACACGAGCATAGTAAAGTAAACAATCTTATACTACACATAATAAAATCCAGCTTATTTTTGCATTTTTTATTTAAATAATAAAACGTCATACCATCAAATGCGCAATAATATTTACACAGAAATTTAACTAAATTTGAGCCCCAATCCACACTACAGATTTTTGTATATAAAAACTTAAAAAGAAGATTTCCGACCAATAATTTTCGACTTACCTGTATTTGCGTATGCTTCACTTGGATAGGCTCTAAGAGCGCCAGGTGATGGGTAAGTTGGTGCCTCATAACTTGACTGTGATGTGCCTTCTACAGATTGACGAGCGGCTGCTGCTGCAGTTACGCTGGCATGCCGCTCTTCACTGGCGCTCATGTAAGCTGCCGCAGCAGCTGATGTTGGCTGTTCACGATAATTCCAATATGGCTACACAAATAAAGAGTTTAATAAGCTAAGTTTCTACTGACAATTATTTAAATAAATTTTCATACCTGAAACTGTGTATCTGGATAGCCATAAAAGACAGGCTTACGATCTCTATCTAAGTAATATTGCGATGCATGATGATACTGTGCTGAACTGAAACCATCGCCATCATACGCCCAAGGATGTGGATGTCGTTTAACGGCGGCTGTAGCATCAGTTTCGAAGCCCGGCCTAATCACGGGTAAATGTAATGGAGCTAATGAGAGGGACATATCTGTAAAGGGAAAAAAATTTATATTAATATTGTATGTTACTATATAAAATTTATGTAGAACGACCTTATCGGTAAACAATTATTTTACAATAAAATTTTTTTAAAAGAATAAAGTAATTAATTGTCAATACCGGAATAACAAGGATCACTTGATAAATTATTATTTAAAAGCTTTGAAACTGCTTTAGATGGAGAGTCGAAGAAACTAATAATGTTATTTGGTAAATAGGTCTTAAAAAATTTAATATAAAATAGATTTGATTTTTCGTATTATTGAGATGATAAGCCGACATATTTGACAGGTGTTAAGGCAAAGACGCGCATAAAAAATATTGATTGAAGCGAATTATTTTTTTTTTGAATGGAACTATTAATTTTATTTCTGGTGCTATTCGAAAAATAACCTGTATCTGTGAAACAAGTGGTTCGAAAAGTGGAGGCTTAATTTAAATAAAGTGCACAAATCAGTGGATGACAAGCGTTAAACTGAACATATCGAATCCAACTATGCAATGATTATTTAATCTTCATATATCATCATCAAGTTATCATCATATTATATCATCTTATAAGTTCTACCTGAAATTAATATTGTACGAATTGGTAGACTATCAAAGGTCATTTTCTTTAATAAAATAAATTAATTTCGCAAATGAAAAATTCGTATCCAACAAAGATAATAGAAATGATATTGTGTAATAGATGTTACTACTACTACTTAAATGCTTGACTAATAGGAGGAGTATAGTGCCTCAGATAATAGATATTAAAGAATTAGAAATTAGGAAGTAAGTTTTTAGAATAGTCATAAGAAGTCAAACACCATGGTTTAGTAGATGTTTCCTGTAGATGTTTCAATCCATTGTTAATTTTACAGAACGGTGTCAAAGTTGAAGTAAAATTTTTACCGTGAATATGTTTTGGAATAAATTCTAAGGTCGTGGAAAAATCAACATGAGAGAGATAGGACGTTTTTGAACGAAATTTTATATCATCACACAAATCAATTCCATACTTTAATGCGATTGCTTAATGGCTTTTACGTTAACCAGGTGCAAAATCTATTACATATTGGTACAGAATATAATTTCTCACGTTCAATGTATTTTGCTATTGCTCTATTAAACCGGGTTCGGAAAAACGTACTCCATTATTACATAGAATCTCTAACATATCGAGGTCATAAAAGTAGTGACTTTAAAAGTTTTATGTGCAACAGTGGCCTAGTCATGATTGTGCCTAAGATACGATATGCTAGGAAATATTTTTTGGCAATATTTTTGCTGTGTACTATCTGTGCACTATATTGTCAAGATAGGATCAATACTAGCACAAGATAACCGCCTAGCTAAAGTTCATTAATTTAACTACACGGGCATATCCTTTTAGGTTTGCCTTTTAAACTAGAAAATTAAACAGGAGATTCTTTGTAACTATGAAAACTGTTCTCGAGCTAGAACAAGAAGAAGACAATTCAGCCTGAAGTTCTGATCATCGTCTAATATTAAAAAATCTATATAATATAAAATTTGGAAACTGAATATCATCCATTTGATTTAGATCAATAGTTAACATAAAAAATATACTATAGTTACAGAAGTGCACCTTATTCAAAACGCAGAACTAACAACCCTGTTATTATAAGAACATATTAAATTATTATTTCGGGTTCACCAAATTCAAAACAAAATGCAGTAACGCATATGACTTATTTTAATAATTTAATTTCTTCTAAACAAACGAGACAAAGAGATTTCAGAATCCTTATATCAATTACATCAATGTTTCATTAGAAATAATTTTATTTTATTTTATTTATGCATATTATATTTCATATATTATTTCTATATTATTATAAATTTCATTAATAATTTTAAAGGCAACTAAATATAAATTATAGTTAAACCTCATTGTCATCATAAAATATTTTCTTTATAATTATTTAGTTCACTAAAAATTACGAAAATTTTGTAAGGAATTTATGGATAGATACAAAATAGGCTTTGGTTTCTTGAAAATTTTTTTCATTGCATAATAATTCTTCGAAAAGAAATAAAATATTTATATACTATTTTATATAACTAATTATTAATAATTATAATATATTTTATATTTATATTTTTAATCATTTGCTGTAAACAAATATAATATTTACGATATAGTAGCTTCAACCCAATCTTTTATGTTTCCTCATAATTCCATCTTATAGCATCTTTTCCTTAGTACTTAATTATAGTTAAAATGTATAATATATAAAGATATGTAATCTGATATAATTTTAAAAAATACTTTTATAATTATTTTATTTATAAAATAATTTATATATAGTGATATGAAAAATTGTTATATTTGCTTAAAGAATTATTTCAAATGACTCTCATAAATTATCCTTCTTAATTAAAATCGCACCAATTACGAAAAAATAAAACTAAAAATAAATTAAAGCTTCTAATGTCTTCTACATTATTTATTTCCTAGTTGTTTGGCTTTGAATTATTTATCTGTGAGATGTTCAGATAAAAAATTTTATTACACTAAAACTGCCATATAAAAAATAAAAAACATTAATAAATTTGCACAAAATAAAGTTCGTATGCGCGTATAAAAGACTTAATTGTGTGTTTATGGCCTAACATGATTTATAAAATAATCTATAATATTGTATATATAAATCCAATTAATTATATTCTCAAATCGTTAAATAATACTTCATGTATTAAAATAACACATTATTTGTAGCTTTACTGAACCGTTTAATCGGGGTAAATTAAGAGATAAATTAACAAAATTTATTTATAAAAAACCTACGTAAGACTGTTATGTATGTTTTATACATAATTATTGTCAATGGATTTTATATTACTATTATAAACCCACATACCATGGCTTCTCGGTATTAAAAAAGATCAAATGGCAAGCCTTTCATTATTTTAAATGGATTATAAAAACATTATTCATTATTGAGAACATATATTATCTGAATTTTATAATTAAATATTTTTGGTCCTTCGTTATTTAGAGGGTTTCTTGTAATGGATATGTGTTAGAACGAGTCTACTGTTATATACATATTATATTATTATTGTTAAAATGCTGAAATAATAAAACTATCTATAAAATATTCTTGAAAAGATCAACTTCAGATATGAAACTCATTCTTAGTTAAAATGCGAAGAACTATATGGATTACTGGTACCACTTATCGTATAATCATTCATCAAAAAATAATTTTTTAACATGTTATAATGCGGGTTATTGACTTTTGTGAAATTGTTTACAGTGTTTTATTGTTTAAAATTTAAATATACAAAAACACACAAAAGAAATTTATAAGAAAATACACAAATTTATATAAAAAAGTGAAGACAAAGAAAAAGTTTTTGTTTGATTAAACAATATTTTCGCAAATAAACACTGAAACTCCCGATTAACTCATAGATATATATTACTAATAAAATCTGTATAAAACACATATATTTTATTTCAGCTAAAGTTTTATATATTGATTTAATCACTAGAAAAATCATTGTCAACGTTTTAATATAAATATGTGTATATATGTATACATATAAACAAACAGTGATACGTTGTTATATAAAGTTATGTCATCTCTTATATATTACATAGGACTTAATATAGAATTTGTAAATCAATATTAATCAGTTGAATGCATTTAACGTTTTTGATATTATTCAAGACCTATTTGATTCCGTCATACGAAGTTCTAATTTTGGCAGCACATGAGGTATAACTAAGCTATATCTGTACTTACTTTACTTCTCAGCTCTATTCCTAATCTCAACAAAATTATCACAACTACAAAGAAAAATTGAAATTCTAAAGTTGACAAGGTCTATTCAAGTTCGATTTGTAACCGGAGAAATAGAAAAAAATTTCTTTTTAAATAGCAATGTAAAAACTTTCAGATTTTTAACATAAACAATAAAAATATTTCAAGCATTGTAAATATTTATTAAATAAAATCATCGATATGCGAAATTTTCTATTAATTATTTATTTAAATATTATAGGGACATTGTAGTACTCTGAGGATGACTGTAAAATATTGTCGAAATATTGGTGTAAATAAAAAATTGTTTAAAAAGGAAAATTTTTTTTTAAAAAGTATATTATTTAATAATTTGACAACTAGCCTGTTTTGATAATAATATTATTATTATGTTTTTTATTAAAACATAAACATTTTTCTCCCACCGTTCGCACAGCACCGGATAAATGTCCGGGTTACCCGCATTAAGAACGGGTACTGTCAGAGTCAAAGCAGTGTGTGTTTTTCTATAATTATTTCAGATTTGTTTTAATAAATTAATATGCTAATAATTTTAATTTTAGTAATATAGTTCTATCCATATGAAGTTAAAAGAAATTTTCTTACAATTTGTGCAAATTCTCATACAATATAATGGTTTGCAATACTGAGACGACTATGTTGTTGTCATAATAATCTGCCCATTATTCGTATAAGTAACTTGTAAAAGAGATAATGAAAAAATTAATAGTGGAACACGGAAGTCTGAGACAACAAAAACACCGCTGGAATAGTGGTAGCAACAAACAATTTGCTTGGGAGACTTGGACACAGGTTCGAAAAGAAGAGCACAACATATCTAGCCAAAAAAACAATCATGCGAAAGCGGTTCCGATGAAACAATCCCTGACAAAGTAAGAGTCGAGAACTACCTTCCGCCTACTGTCGGCTCGACGGTAAAAAACGCATTCAAATAAAATTATTAAAAATAAGTATACAAAATATCAAAAAATTTTAAACTAAAAATGATAACATTAAAAATAAATAAACTATTATTTCATAAGCAGGGAAAATAATATATATGTCCTTATCACAGGAATATTGTAATATATTTTAAATAATACAATATTTTAAATGCATAAAAAAAATTTAACAGAAAATTTATAATAATAATATATTGCTATAATTATAATACCAACATAATATATAAATACTTAGGTGTATATTTATTTATGTATAAATTTAATATAATTGCATAAATAATATAATTGTATAATAATAATATAATAAAAAAAGCATTAAATTTTAAATGAAATTTTGTATTTAATTAAAATCAATGTAATACCTTATATGTATTCTATAAAATTTAATAGAATAATAATAGTGTATATATATATATGTATTGGTAATAGAATATACAATACATATTTGTATATTCTATAAAACAATAAAAAAATGAATAGAACAATAAAGAAAGCAAATTATGAAATAAAACAAAATTATACATAATTGTATATTACATAAAATATTTTATAAACATTAAAATATTTTATTTATATGAAAACATTGATTTCAGTAATACATATACGTAATATCATATATAAAATATTGTGATAAAATATTGTATATGCATTATCGTATATGAAATAATATATCAAAATTTGAGTACTAAATAAAATTATTTAAAAATCAGAGTCAGTATAAAAAGTTATAAGCCATAAATATATATCATATATGTCATATTTGGAAACATATTATTTTATATATGACATTATATTATAATACATAAAATAATCAAATAATCAAATCAAATATAAAAATATAATACACATTATAGTAAATAACTAAATATTTCATATTTAATTCTTTAAAATTAAATATTTTTAAATACGTCATATTAATAATAAATAAATCATAATAAATAAATAATAATATATAAATAAATAAATTTAATATAATAAATCAAATATAGAAATATAATACACATAATAGTAAATAACTTAATATTTCATATTTAATTCTTTAAAATTAAATATTTTTAAATACCTCATAATAATAATAAATAAATAATAATAAATAAATAAATTTAATACTATTGTCATTGTCAAATTTAATTAAATACTTTTAAATACTTCATATTAATAATATTAACAAATTTAATACTAAATAAAGTGGTTTCTAATATTAATTTAATTTTTAAAATATTTAATTTTTTTAAATTTAATTTTTTTAAATTTAATTTTTTTAAATTCATATTATTAATATTGATATTAATAACATCAATATTAATAAATATTAAACTAAATAGAATAGTTTCTATTATTAATTTTGGAACGATTATGTATTTATATGTGAACAAAACTTTTTGTAATAAATATATGATTTTTCATATATACCACTATATATCAAACATATAGATTTATTTTTCAAAAACTAATATTTATTGTTTATATTATTATACATATATTAAAATAAAATGATTTATTTTATTTCTTTTATTTATTTTAATATAGTAATTATTTTCTATAAATACTTTATCTATGATAATAGAATCCTGTGCCAACCCAAAATTTTGCAAGTACTAGGCCAAATGATCAAACTTGTTAATATATGTTATCTTATATATCTTCCACTGATTCTATTAAATGTCCACACATTTCCTATACTTTCCAACCCGTAACGAATATACGCACAAAATCAAAGAAACCTTTCGCATGGACTTGGAAGAGAGAAATTTAAATCTGTGTCCATTTCTTACTCACCTGGTGGTTGGGAACTAACACTGGATGGGGAAACACTCGCCGGTGTCGGCGCAACAATTTGTGTTTGGCCGGACGCCACTGCTGTGTTTTGCTGTTTTTGTTGCTGCTGTTGCTGCTGCTGTTGTTGTTGCTGCTGCTGTTGCTGTTGTTGCTGTTGCTGCTGCTGTTGTAAACTAGACGTCGCAACTGTAGAAACACTATTCGTCTGTTGTTGTTGTTGCTGCTGCTGCTGTTGCTGCTGCTGATGTTGATGCTGTGGTGATGTGAGATGCTGTTGTGTTTGCGTTGAAGGACCAGTAGGTGTTTGTGTAGGACTATGTCCGCTAACTGGTGTTGTTGGTATTTGTTGTTGTTGCTGTTGCTGTTGTGATAGCTGTTGTTGTTGCGGGAGGTGATGCTGTTGCTGATGTACGGGAAGTATTGGCACTGGTGGGGGATCTTCATACATGACCGCATGTGTGGGCGTGGAATGTGATGTTGGCGTTGTTTGTTGTTGATTTTGTTGTTGTAGAATTGCAGCCGTTGATGCCAATGATGCCGTTGCAGAGATAGCAGTATGTTGCAAATGCGGATGATGATGGTGATGATGCGGATGCGGATGATGATGATGCAATTGATTATATGTTGTTGTTTGATTAATAGTAGAAGTTGTGGTTGGATGTGGAGCGTGATGATGTGGCCCCCACCAAGCCCCGGCAGCGGCGTGCGACCCGACTGCCGAGACATCGTGGGGGTCGTAAAGAGCGCACGCCAGCGGGATGGTTGGGGTTTGGGGGAGTGGTGGAATAGTTACGGTTATTTTGAACGCGATTTATTACAAACAAAAGATTTTTATATTAGCGTACGCGAAATTATTTCAATTTTAAAATTCGTTAATAAATAAATTGTGTGGAAATTAACGAATGCGGAATATTAGAATTGAATTTTATTTTAGTTTATTATTTTTAATTTTTTTTTTTTTTTTGTTAAAATGTTTTGTTGTATTTTGGCATTATTTCAGAAATCAACATTTATAATAATTTTGATTTAATTTTTATTTTTGTGTGAATGTTGTTTTTTTTGTTTTTTTGTTTTATTTGTTCAAATTGTTGTGCAAAAATACGTTTTGTAAAGAGCGCGAATCACACAGATACACACGCATACAGTTGAACGTGGGCGATGATAATATCGCAAAGAGAAACGCGCACGGTTAAGAGTTCGGACGTGTTTCGGAAGAAGTGTTCCAGAGCGTATGATGATTATTTAGTTTTTGTGGTTTTGGCGTGTGAAGAGCACGGATTGAGTTCGCATTTTTTTAGAGTTTTGATTTTCATATATGACAGAGGCAATTTCGTATTTAGTGAGGTCAAAATATTTGTTAAACGAATCAAGTGTTTTTAAATGGATTCGATCAAATACAAAGCGCAATGTCAATTTTAAGAGATTTAGAATTTCATGAACATATGATTTTGTATGTGATTAGACGGGGGGTACAGGGTGCACGAGCGCAGTTATTTTATGTTGATTAAATTATTTAATTTTTTATAAATTTATAAATATAAATATATTTTTTATATAAAAAATATTAAAATTATTTTTTATTAAAATAATTTTTATTTATTTATTTTTATGCAATAGTTTTTTTTAAAAAAAACATTTTATTTTTTTTACGGTTGTATTGTATGTAATTGTTTTTTAATTGCCAATTTTTATTATTAAATTTTTATTAGTTTTTTATATTTAATTCAGTTTATTGGATTTTCACACGTTGTCGCACGAATTGTCAAAAGATTGAAGTGCGTGATTTAATTTTTTATATGATTTTGTACACATAAAAATATTATTATTTTTTTTGTTTTTTTGTTGGCGACCATAAAATTTGATTTTACGATCAAAACAAATAATTATTTTTTTATTATAGTAGTTGTTTAATGTTTTTCGTATTTTTAATTATTTTGCCGGTTGTATGCAAATTTTCAATTGTTGCAGAATTGTAATCCAAACGATTTTTGTTTATTTTGTTTATATTTGGTATTGTTTATTTAAGAATTTCAGGTTGATTTGTATATTTTTTAAGTTCAAAAAAAATTTTTTTTTTTTTGTTGACCAGGAAACACCAGAGTACAGCAATTTTGGTGGGAAAAAATTGTAAGAAAAGTTGTCAAATAAGTTAGGTTCATATATAGATGTCAATTCAAGTTTTTATATTTCTATTTATACACTTATATATATGTTAAATATATTTTTAATATATTTATTGGGTATGTTTTCAGATTTTTTGTGAATTGCAAAAACAAACTCATTTTAATATATATTTCTTTAATAGATTTTAGTTAATAAGTCTAACGTATATAATTATTATTCTTTCAAAGCATTTTTATATATATTTTTTACGTATTTCTTGGTAACTTTTTTTTCAATTCTGCACTTCAAATATATTTTTTTTTGTTAGATTTTAACTTTTATCTGCTACAGTTGAACTGCTTAACTTAATTTTTGAATTTTTGTTTTTCCGAAATTTTTGCTTTCTTCCATTGTGCAAATCCCCATTTCAATTTCAAATCAGGAAAAGAAATATCTTTAACGCACACACAATAAATAGTAAAATTACAAAACAAACTATATATTTTTCAATTTTCTTATTAAATTTGAAATCTTATTGGAACTCGTTCCTGTCGCTCATATCTCGTATCTTTTGTCTGTTGTCTGTTGTTGTTATGCTTTGGAACTCGACTAGTAACGTATGCTCAACACACATCGACTTTATTTTTCAAATAATTTTCTTAACAGAATTGAACTGAATGAAAACTGACTGAAAACTGACTGAAAACTGACTGAAAACACACAAACAACAACTTTCGAGTCGTGTGCCGTGTGTCCCGTACCGTACGCTGCGGAGTACAAATCCACACTGAAAACAGATTCTTTTGTCACACAAATGCCGAAATGTCTTCATATCAAAAGTCAAGATTGTGAACAACAGAAAAAATAACAACACAAAAATATGAAAAGAAATGAATTCGTTACGTTTCTTTTCCTTTGTATAGTTCTCCCAACTGAAGCGCGTTTGGGAGCGTATCTATAGATAGATACGTGCATACGTTCAGATACTTGCTATGCACATGAAATTTAACTAAAAACAACATTTGAAGTTCTTTAGCTAAAACGGCAGCGCAATGGTGGTGGCACGTTGTTCTTATAACGTTGCAAGGCATTCCTGCTGTTGTTGTTGTTGTTACTATTGGTTTGCACGCACAGAGCGGACCAAAATTTCGAACCCTGGAGTCAGCGCAAAACGAATTTGTATCCAAAATACTTTAATGCTCTCGCAATATAAAACTGAAGAACTGAACACATTGCACTTGTATCTATGAGTACGTATCTGCTGCGAAAGTTAAGTAAACTAAGGTTTCTCTTTGTGTTCCGACGACACATATTATAAATATGAACAGGTTTACTTTGCTACGTATACGTATACGTAGCAACTTTTCATTGTGTTGGTGGGATAACTTAATAAGAGTATCTTGTAAACTCCCGCATAGAAACACAATAAAGCTCTGTTAGCTACTAAGAGAAACTTTTTAAACAAATATTTTATTATACCATAATTAAATAGTAAAACTGTAAAAAACCGTAACTAACCATTTTATAACAGTTATAAATAATATATCTATCTATATATTCTAGATAATCATTTGTATCAAAATAAAATAAAAATATTTGTATCTTTTAATTCAATATGCATATGAACATAGTATCTCAACTCACACAGTTATAGACTCACATCTACGGTGTGTGTGTCAGCTATATTTGTAGAACACATGCGTGGAACATCCACAGGAACACACTCGGAGACGCTCTCTACTCTTATTTTTGAAAAATTCATGCCGTTTGGGGCTGTCTGAATCAAAATTACGTTTAGGTAGCAAGTGGCTCCATCTAGTATTGAAATTTGTACAAAAGTTCTCATAGCCGCGTTTAGTATATTTGCTAAGAAATTTGTATACACAACTTAACTAGTAGAAAAAAAAAACGAACTATTTATTATTGATTAAAATTCAGAGAAATATTGCACTGAATTGGATATCGTCTATAAGTAATTTCTGCTAATATGGTTAAGGTATATTTGAATTATATAGAAGTCTTTTGGAATACAAATGAGGAAATCGCAATAAAAGAACACATTGAACAAATAATAGTTCTATATATTTGAGAGCTAATGACAATAATATAGACATATAAATTTATAAATATTTATACATATTTTTGCAAAATAGAGCAGCAAAATTTTAGAAAATAAAAGCAATGCTTTAGACCAAAATGTACATATAGATATACATAAGATATATATAACAACTTCTTATGTCGAAAATAAAATTGAAATTGAGGTGGTGTGAATTGAACAGAGTTTTCCTTAATTTTTATTTAAATAATAAGGAATATATCCCAAACATATTTTATAACAAAATTAAAATAATACATCATTCAATTAGTCTAAAGTTTGACCAAGAAAAATACTTCGATGATAGCTTTACCAATATTTTTATGGAAATCTTATGTCGGCATAAACACAGAAATGTTTAATCGACACAAGAACTTCTTTTCTATCCACTGTTTTGATTATTATAAAGTAACATATAATCTAGACAAGCCAAAGCCACATCATTGTTTCTGCAGTTTAAACATAACTAAAATTTTAACTTCTTGTTTGTAATAACAAAGATCCAGATTTTCATATCCGATGAGGTTTAAGTGCTTCTATATGGATGTGAGGCTTTATTAACAGATATCTTTGACGCAACCTTAAAATATAGTGACTAAGAACATAAGTAAAATTGGTTTGCTCCACCCATTTAGTCGTTTAGTAAAAAACTAAAACTGACCTAATCACCACAAATGGGATTGGATTGGACATACTCTTAGCAATCCACTTCATACAATTTAATGACAGAAACTTGACTGGAATCCATAAAGACTAAAAAACTTAGACCAAAAGACGCGTGAGAGCTGGATTAAATTGGACAAACTCTTAGAAACTCATTTCATTAAATTTAAAGACAGTAACTTGACTGGAATCTGTAAAGACATAGAAGGGCGACCAAAACAAACGTGAGAGCTGGATTAGATTGAAAAAGCTCTTAAGAACCTACTACATGAAATTTGATAACAATAATTTGACTGGAATCCGTGAAGATATAGAAGAGAGATCAAAAGAAACATTGGAGTAGCGATAATTTGTCAGATTAAAATTATTTGTTACATGATTAAAATACCAAAGATTATATAAAAGAAAGAAAATAAAAAGTTTCGTAGTGCTTGGCTACAGTTAAGTAGAATCCATAAAGATATAGAAACAGAGAAAAACCAAAAGTTAGGTCGTGCCAAAAAAATAATAGAAAAAAGGGGACACATTCTTGGAATTAGATGTAGCTTTAAGAATTTTGAACTCACAGTTCAAAATTTTTACTCTATTATAAAAAAGTTATATTCAGCAGTTATAGCAAACTTTGATAATGATCTTAATTAATATTGTCCTTTCTAATTAGTATAACTCGTTATTATTTTTAGTATGGCATTGGTTTATGGTTTAGGCTAAAGTCTTTATGCACTACGATCAGCTTGATGTATTGATATAAAATAAAATTATTGTATGTATATTATATAAAGGTATGATACATTATTCGTTTTTTAAATTATTGTATCTTAAAAATATTAACAGGAATTATTTATGATCAAACAATATTCTATTCAAAAATTATGATTGTTAGCGTCTATTCTCGAATATGTAAACATAACTGTAATATGACACAATGTATTACTAAATAT